TATCTACTCTCCATCCATCCCCCATCCAAAGCTGGCAACTACAAAGAAGGGCATTGCGAGATCCTTCTTCTCGGCTGCTCGTAGATGGTACGGAGCTTCACCTCAGGGCATGACGTCCGGAAGAGATACACTGTACACAACTGGGCTTATGCGAAGTGGCAAGTACTCGTACAATGGCATTGAAGCGAAGCTCAGGCGGTTGGCGGATTTGGCCTTCATGCTGCGTGACTACGAGCAGGCGTCGAGTCTATACCAAGTGCTACGGAGGTGTGTGTTTATGAGGTGGGGTGGGTAGACATACACCTAGTGAGTCTATACCAAGTGTTTCGAAGGTGTGTGTACATGAGGTGGGGTGGGTAGTCAAACACCTAGTGAGTCTATACCAAATGTTACGGAGGTTGACATTCTACTAAATATCGAGGATTGTGTATGAGAAAATTTCCTAGTGAGTTGGTGAAAATATTATATTCATGATGGAGGGTTGTGTCGAATACGTCACTATCGGATTTTACCTACCTGTCGGTGCTAACCGGACGAGGTCGGGGTGTTTTTAGGGTTTAAGTAGGGTTTAGTAAAACCACCGCTACCCTATCCGCACGCGTGTGCTATAAATAGAACTTACGATCGAATCTTACTTACCAGGGAGTACCAGTCAGATAAGGCCTGGGTGTATGCCGCGGGAGCCCAGGAAATGGCCGGGGTGTGCCAATTTATGATGGAACCGTCAAGGTATGATATACCAGCCGATTATTCATGTCTAAAAAGATGTCGCAAATTAATGTTTTTGATGAATGGCTGTTCGACAACTTGTTTATGTACGATTGGAGACTGTAGACGCAGGCCTTTGCGCACAAATTATGTCGTAAACGCCGTATGTGAGCACTTTATTGTTTGGTTTTATTCTTGTCTAATGTAGTGTGTGTTTTGATTTTTAGTCTTTCGTACTTTATTGTTTGTTTTTATTCTTGTCTTATGTAGTGTCTGTTTTTTAGTCTTTATTACTTTATTGTTCGTATTTATTCTCGTTTTATGTAGTGTGTGTTTTTTAGTCTTCATTACTTTATTGTTCGTATTTGTTCTTGTCTTATGTAGTGTGTGTTATTTAGTCTTTATT